AGTATTGGTAAGTATAATTAATATCATCATTGATATATTGACTTATTAGATAGAATATATCTCTTTAATATATGCAACTCTTGGGAAATAATTGTGCAACATTTCTTAATATAAAGGTGAAGAGCTCATAGAATAATCGAAAGTATGTAAAAGTCTTTAAGCCCACGTAGATGAAGAGCAACATACACATATGTGTATGAGTCTCTGGTAAACTAGTAGAATTAATAACGTATTACCCAAAAATGAATTGTATTTCCCTAGGTGGAGTATAATCATCTTCTTTGTATAGATTACCTACTGTAGATTGCATTTACGTCAATCGTTGAACCAATCTGACTTGTATTTATTGCAATCTTGAAAGAGAGATTGGAAGCAATCCATCAGAGTGAAGAGAACATTTTTATCAATGATTCTGTATTCAGAGGTGACTTTTCAAACTGAAACCCAACACATCTAGGGGAGGAAGACAAACAACCAGAAGCTCTCTATTGATCATCATTGCAGTTTAGGTATTCATAAATGGGAAGCTGATAGATTATATCCTACAGCATTCCCTCTAAATCCACACGTCGACGAGTTTTTTTATTTCTAATAATACCAATATTTAGGATCTGGACGCCAAATGTAATCTATAAGGAATGTGTCTATCAAAAATTGGAGGTGTAGTGCTACTCTTGATATGGCAACCTAATTCAATTCAAAGACGATGGTTTAAATAACTTCGGCTTGCTGAATGCCATTTCCGAAGATGGATGTAGTTTAAAATTATTATTGGATAGATTCTATAGGACCGACTTGCTGTGACGTTGCCTGCGGACTCATTTATCCCCCAGGCCCGCTCCTCTTTTTCGCATTACCCATAGATAGGTATTACTCCACTTCATAAAATCAACACTGGGAGAGCGTGCCAGTGGAAATAATTAGAAGATTCGTAGTCACTCCGAGAACCAAAATAATCCTCAGCTTTTCTTGACAGTGAAATTCCAAAGACAATGACGTGGAAAAACTTTCGGAACTAGAAATTAGTATGATTCATTCAATTTTGCAACCATTTCACGCCCATGCTTTATAACAATGCACGGAGCAACGTCTAGCGATCCAAATATTTGCAAATTTGTTTTCCAACTTAGAAGAATACACAAAGATTAGTTTTGCCCAACATTAAAGAATAATAAAAATACAAAACACAATGGAACGGTGGAGTTTAGCCTTTTGGTCTTGCTATCTTATAAGGAGTAAAAAACTCTAGAACGACTAAGGCGGCCCACACAGGGCCTCACAAGACGTTTTATTTTCAGAGGCGACAATGAAAAATTTGCAATCACAATTTCGCAGTCGTTTCTCGGTAATAGCATCCATTTATAGAATGGGATAACTCAGTACCTAAATCCCCATATTAGAGATATTTGAGAATTTTGATGGCACTCAAAACGATTGTTTCGTGAAGGTTCTCAGTCTCCCCAACTGTTTTTCTTATCTTTCAATTACCACTTCGATTCTACACATCCAAATTCAGGTAAAAGGCTTGGCTTAGGAACTGTTCTAAGGACTTTAGTTTTACTTTAGTCGCAACTGTATACGGGCTCGGTTGTAAATAATATCACCAAACTTCTATTCACCCGATCGGTGCATAATAAGAATCAATAATACGAAACAAATTTTATTTTTTTGTGGGGAGGGGGGGCAACCTTCTTTGTAAGTGAAAAGAAAAGGGCCCAAACAATGAGAAGGCTTCCATGGTATTGTTTGTGTTTCATATTTCCCGATTTCAAAATTTCTTTGTTCTCGGGAGAACAGAGTATAAGAGGCTAATACTATGGATTGCTATTATGTATGACAAGCGGAATAACACAACCCTTAAATAATATTTCAAACATTTCAACCTCCCGATCTTACCACATCTATTTCGGGCGAACAGCCCTATCTCCATCCTACCCCATAAACAAGAGTGGAGAAGATGCATGAACACTCTACCATCACATTATTGTTCTTCCAACGAAGAATACCTTTCATCAAAATCTCACTATGCGAGATTAGGTTTCCCCTAGTTGAATATGTTGTATGACGTAATCAATATTAGTGCATTTCACACTTTTTTTTATGTATCCCTGTAGATTAATGGACATATAAACAAAATATCACAGACTCTGTTATACTTCCCCTAGCAAGCAATCCATTACATTGTTGAAACCAATCTTTGAAAATGCACAATTACCCTTAACCCCCCATGCTCCAAACCCCAGTTGGTATTGTTGAGTTTTACTAAGATACGGTTTATTACATGACGACAGAAGGAGTTCCAATGGGGAGGAGGGGGGGTCGGAACAACACTAGTTGTTGGTCCATGTAGATTTCGTTTAGGTATTATTAATCAGGAATTTTGACTTCTTATTATGGTCGGTAGAATAGAAGTTACACAAAAAATATTTTTTATGGATTTTAGCGTTTTTTTCTTTTATTCCGACCGGAAGAACACAACATTTATTTTTTAGCTATTAATTTCAGCTTTGTTCCAATTAATAATAATATTTTTTTAAAGAATACATCTCGCGTGTGGAGGATTACGTACTCTGGTGGTTAAAAACTTTATAGCATACTAGTTAGTCCAGTTCCACAGTGTTCCAACTAAAATCAATGGTATTAACAGGGTTGTAATCCAATCAGGTTTGTAATCGGCATCTTAAAGTGTCATTGTTTTTCCGGAATCAATTCGGATCCCAGGGGGAAAATAAATTGACAGAAAACAGCAAAGGGCAATTGACAACAATATTCAATTGTGTGGAGGAGGAGATTAAATTAGGTGAGACTTTTATTATTTTATAAAAAATGGTGTAGTATAATGTAAAGATAACAAAATAAAAATTTTAATTAAGCGCTGCATTGAAAATATGGGGGAACCATGTCGAAAGTGAGAATTGATGATCAAATATAAAAGCAAGTGAAAATCACCTTTCAATTTCTGACATCTCATTTCTTATTTTCATCACTAAAGTAACAAACTCACAATTACTACTACTATGGGTCAACAACAACCAGAGAAACCAATGTTGGAAAGCACCAGCAGCTCCTCCAGCCTCAACAAACAGAATCAAGAAATTTCTGAACTTGAATCAATGCCTTCTGAAAGAGAAGGTGGTGAACATGGAAATATCTTAGCTCAATATTCCGAAAAGCAAGTTATGCAAATGGGTAGACATTACGCTAGTAAACATGATCTTGATGCTGACTTATTCGCTCGTGCAGCTGCAGTAGCTCGTTCTCCATCTGCATTCAATTCAATGTCATTCTTAAGTGCTGAAGAAAAGAATGGTTTATATTTAGAAGCAACTAAGAAATGGCATATTCCAAAGAAATTAATCGGTGTTATTGCATTGGGTTCCATGGCTGCTGCCGTTCAAGGTATGGATGAAGCAGTTGTCAATGGTGCTACCTTGTTTTGGCCAAAGGCATTTGGAGTGACCGAAATGAAGAATGCCGATTTATTAGAAGGGTTAGTTAATGGTGCTCCATACTTATGTTGTGCAGTTATTGCTTGTTGGTTATCAGATTTTTGTAATCGTCGTTTAGGTCGTAAATGGACCATTTTTTGGACTTGTGTTATTTCTGCTTTGACTTGTATTTGGCAAGGTTTTGTTAACAATTGGTGGCATTTATTCATTGCTAGATTCTTTTTAGGATTCGGTATTGGTATTAAGTCAGCTACTGTCCCTGCATATGCTGCTGAATGTACTCCAAAGCATATTAGAGGTTCCTTAGTTATGTTATGGCAATTCTTCACTGCTGTTGGTATTATGTTTGGTTATGTTGCATCTTTAGCTTTCTATAGTGTCCCTGATAGAGGAATTGGATCTGGTTTGAATTGGAGATTGATGTTTTCTTCTGCTTGTATTCCAGCCATTATTGTTTTGCTTCAAGTTCCTTTTGTTCCAGAATCTCCTCGTTGGTTAATGGGTAAGGATAGACACAAGGACGCTTTTGAATCATTGAGACAATTGAGACATGAAGAAATCGCCGCTGCTAGAGATTGTTTCTACCAATATGTCTTGTTAAACGAAGAAGGTTCTTATGAAATCCCAGTTTGGAAGAAGTTTATCGAATTATTCACAATTAGAAGAAACAGAAATGGTGCTCTTGGTGCTTGGGTCGTCATGTTTATGCAACAATTCTGTGGTATCAATGTCATTGCTTATTATTCCTCTTCTATTTTCATCAAGGCTAACTTTAGTGAAATCAGTGCCTTATTAGCATCTTGGGGTTTTGGTATGATTAACTTCACATTTGCAATTCCTGCATTCTTAACCATTGATAAATTCGGAAGAAGAAGTCTTTTGTTAACTACTTTCCCATTGATGGCTGTCTTCTTGTTAATTGCTGGTTTCGGGTTTTTGATTAAGGATCAACAAGGACAATTGGCCATGGTTGTCGTTGGTGTCTACTTATTCGCAGCCGTCTATTCTTCAGGTGAAGGTCCAGTTCCATTTACTTATTCAGCTGAAGCTTTCCCATTATATATCAGAGATATCGGTATGAGTTTTGCTACTGCCACTTGTTGGTTCTTTAACTTTATCCTTGCATTCACTTGGCCAAGATTACAAAATGCTTTCACTCCAACTGGTGCATTTGGATTCTATGCCGCTTGGAATATTGTTGGTTTCTTCTTAGTATTATGGTTCTTACCAGAAACCAAGGGATTGACTTTGGAAGAATTAGATGATGTGTTTAGTGTCCCATGTATGACTCATGCTGCTTATCAAACTAAATCATTCTGGAACGGAGTTCAAAGACAGATTTTTAGAAGAGATATTCCAAAGTTACCACCATTATACGACCATCAAAGAATGGCCCTTACTAGTCCTGAATGGAATGATAAATCTGAAGTTAACCATATTGAATAGATTTCCATTCTCCTTTATTAAAGTATTTCAATTCTCCTTTTAGTTCTTTAGTTTCAATTTTTTGTGATTTCTACTTTAGTTAGATATCTAGATTAAGTTTTATATTGATTTGTACATTGTTCTTCTAATAAAATTTATAAACTTTTGTTAATATTCTTATTATCTCATTGAATTGTGGCATAGTCTAATTAAGAACTTCTAATTGTGGGTTTGTAAAATTGGAAGCCACAAAATTGAGTGACACAAACGGAATGGTCAAATTGAAAAGCATTAGTTAAATCTATTGATGCTTACTAATGTTTTTGGTTGAAGTTTTATATTGTGTATCAATATTTTTTGTGGTTGTTTAATAGTTTGTAAAAAAACATGCAAAATTGGTTGCAAATGTTTTGTGGTTGCAAAAAAATTTTAAGTATAAATAGACCTGGAAATCCCCTAGAATTCAAATTTTTTTGTTTTCTTCTTTTCCCTTTTTCTTTTTCTTTTTCTTTTCTTCTTTCATTAATTATCTCTTTCCATATTATCCCATCTTTCTATCAATCATTTCTTTATTCATTCATTCATTCATTCATTCCTTTCTTGTGTTATCTTAATGTTCTTTTTATTAACTCATTTAATACCTGCTTGTGTCATTCAACTGTTCGTTTATTTGTTCTGTATTCATCTACTCACTACACATTGCTTCTTTTATCCATTCATTCATTGATTCCTTCTTCAGATAGTTCCTTCTTATTCCATTCATTTAATTTATTCATTCAATCAGTCAATCATTGCTTCATCCCCACCTTCCATACTTCACCTGTCTTCCCTCATATTTCATCCGTCGTCCTTAGTCTCTTTCCTCGTGACCTTTTTTATTCCATCGAACCAGAATTATACCAATAGCAATCGCAAGTCATTATCCTCTCACCAGTTTGTCCTCTAGTTTCTTTTTTAGTTGATGATATGTATTCTGCTCAATCTTGGTAACTGGTATCTGCTTTTTTGTTTTAAGTATTACGACAGGTAAGTATGGGAAACAAACGGGGGGTGAATCAATGATTGTCTGGCTGAATGAGTGAATGGATAGCCCATGGAAGGTACGAGTCTGAGAAGGAATAAGCGAATGGGTAAAGAATTAGCAAGTAGTGTATGCGTGATGTGTCGTACATAGCAATATTGCATACAAAGTTTTAGTCTTCATCCTGCACATAATATTGGAAAAAAACCCTGGGTTGGGGCAAAAATCTATAAAAGTTTTTCCAATGTAAATTTTGATCAATTTTATAATTTGTAAAATCCCTATATTATGATAAGATTACCGCGTTTCACATTAGATTCTGAATATACTTTATTAGTGTCATATTAAACCTTTCTTAACAAATTTAGGGTTCTTTTTGTGAAACACTTCTAAAATAATATTTGTGCACTGCACTACATTTGATAAACAAATGGTGTGCATATAATTTATAAAATGTTACCCTCATGGCAACATTTTGAATCATATGTTGACAAATTTCATAAAATATGAATTTGTTCCAGTTTGATTAGATGAACATATTTCTTGATGTATTCTAAGTATAGTTCGTTAGCGTAGTAAGAGACTATTGTTAACAATATTAGGGACATTCTTGAGTCTATTATATTTGTGACGAATGGTAAAAAAACAGACTCAAAGGTGTGTTTCAGGCAGCTTACTGACAGATGGAATTATAAGGAACGACGCGTTCTTTCATCTACAAGAGCTACAGAACTCCTCAAATCCTGATGCTTTCTCTTGATAGCCACCTCTATTTTACGCCTACATGACTTTTTCATGATTATCTTTGAATACAAGAGCTGGTATAGAGTAAGCAAAACTACGATTTTTCTATTGCTTGGTGGGAACTATGATTCTGAGTCACATTGCTAGTATTGCCTGAAATTGAAGTAAAAGCAAAAGTATCCCAGGTGACGCAATATTTGACGTATCGGGTTTTATATTGTTTTTTGCCGTTAAGACTGATGGCAAATGAAACGATTTATTTTCGCGGGGTGGAGGCGGGTAAGTGAGTGGAACTAACCACAACTAAAAATCTAGATCAATGGATTAATATATAATCGAGCGGAGTGCTATATGCGGTAGTACTATCTCTATTACCTATGTTAGTTGATAAAGTGATACACAATAAAGAGAGGATAAGGAATGAAGTTGTTATAGTTATTTTAGTACCGTTGAAGTATGGGGTCAAATTTAATATGATGGGGGCAGTATGCAGGAAGCTACTAATATATTTTTTTTTTTAGTTCTTAATTTGAATTTTATTTGCCATTGAAATTCTGAAAAATCATTTTTCTACAATTCTCTTCTTTTTCTTTACTCTATAGAAACAGCTTCTCCTGTGTATCTGCTTTGTGTATTTGCAGGTTGCCATTAAGGAATATAGGCCCATTTACAACTCGGTTAACTTTAACGATACCAATATAAAATACGAAGCAACAAACAAGAAAAAAAAAACAAAAACAAAAAAATCTTCAACGTTTGTTTTAAGAAAATTTAAAAAACAACAAAATTTTTTTTTTGTTGCTTTCTTTCTTTCTTTGGTGAGAGTATCGAATCATTTTTTATTTATTATATTATTCGATTCCAGAAGAGAGTATTTCAATTGATATTGATTATATGCTTTTTATTTAGAAATCATTACATATCACCAAAACATATAGAAAGTCATATCCTCATTTGATTCATCCAGAAAACATTCAAAACTTAATAGATACATTTTTTATAAGACATCCAAAACTTTTTTTTATATTTTTTTTTTTTTACAACCAACTACTTATCCAGATATATCTTGCCTGCCATTTTTTATTAACAGAATAATCCAAAATGTCCTTACAAGATCTTATTCCAGTTGTAAATAAATTACAAGATATTGTAACTGCTACTCAAGTATCTGAAATAGATTTACCTATTTTGGCTGTTGTTGGTTCTCAATCTTGTGGTAAATCTTCAGTATTAGAAAATATTGTTGGTAAAGATTTCTTACCTAGAGGAACTGGTATTGTCACTAGAAGACCTTTAGTATTACAATTAATTAATGTCTCAAGTGAAGAAGATCATGACCTTGCTAATGGTAACCTCAACAAAAACAAAAACAAAAACAATGACAGTAATGCCAATAACAACCTATCAAATGGTAATGCAAATTATTCCGATGATCAGCTGCTGATAAATTCGGCTGAAATTAATTTAGAAGATCATATACGTAAACTACATGGAGGTGCAGGTGGTTCAAAGTCTCCTACTGAATGGGGTGAATTCTTACATATTCCTCATAAAAGATTTTATGATTTTCATGATATTAGAAGAGAAATTGAAAATGAAACAATGAGAATTGCTGGTCAAAATAAAGGTATTAGTAGATTACCAATTAATCTTAAAATTTATTCTCCAAATGTTTTAAACCTTACTTTAGTTGATTTACCTGGTTTAACTAAAATTCCAATTGGTGATCAACCAACTGATATTGAAAGACAAACTAGAAGTTTAATTTTGGAATATATTGCATCTCCAAATTGTATTATTTTAGCCGTTTCCCCAGCAAATGTCGATTTAGTTAATTCTGAATCTTTAAAATTAGCTAGACAAGTAGATCCAACTGGTAAAAGAACAATTGGTATCTTGACTAAATTGGATTTAATGGATCAAGGTACTAATGCTTTGGATATCTTAAAGGGTAATGTATATCCATTAAAATTAGGATTCATTGGGATAGTTAATCGTTCTCAACAAGATATTTCCGAAAATAAACCTTTAGAAGATTCATTATTTGCTGAATATCAATTTTTTGCCAAACATCCAGCTTATAAAGCCATTTCAAATAAATGTGGAACAAAATATTTAGCACAAACTTTAAATAGAATCTTAATGTCTCATATTAGAGAAAGATTACCCGATATTAAAGCTAAATTAAACACTTTGATGGGACAAACTGAACAAGAATTAGCTTCATATGGTGATGTACCAGGATTAGATGATTCCAAGGAAGCCCGTGGAGTCATGGTACTTAACTTGATGACTAAATTTGCCAATGCTTTCGTTAATTCAATTGAAGGGACTTCAACTAATGATATTATTCTGACTAAAGAATTATGTGGTGGTGCTAGAATTTATTATATTTATAATGAAGTATTTGGATCCCAATTAGCAGCAATTAACCCAACTCATAATTTATCAATCCTAGATATTAGAACTGCCATTAGAAATTCAACTGGTCCAAGACCTTCTTTATTTGTACCTGAATTAGCATTTGATTTATTAGTAAAACCACAAATCAAATTATTGGAAGAACCAAGTAGAGGATGTGTTGAATTAGTTTATGAAGAATTAATGAAGATTGTTCATAGTGTTTGTTCTACCAATATTGGCCCTGAATTGAGTAGATATCCAAAATTACAAAGTAAATTAATTGAAGTTGTTAGTGATTTATTAAGAGAAAGATTAGGTCCAACTATTAAATATGTTGAATCCTTGATTGAAATTCATAAAGCTTATATTAACACCAATCATCCAAATTTCTTGGGTGCGGCAAAAGCCATGAGTATTGTTGTTGCTGAACGTCAAAAACAAAAACAATTGGAACTGAATAGTAAATTAAGATTAGCAAGTGAAAGAATCTTAACTAAAAAGAGACAACAACAACTAGAGGAAAATATAGAAGAACAATCTGAAGAAGAAGAAGAAGAAGATTTTGAAGCTGAAATCAAATCTGTTGATGATAAATTACCATCTCCGCATAGTCATCAACATGGCCGTCAATTATCTGTCCATAAGGCCGATTCAACTCCAAACTTCCATCATCAAGCAATATCACCGCCACAGCATCAACAACAACAACCAGAATCATATTTGAATTATTTCTTGGGTAAAGATCCAATTGTCCATCAACAACAATTACAAACCCAAGCCCAATTAAACCCAATTCCATTCAAATTCCCTCATCCTCAAGAAAATACCTTACAATTCAATAGCAATTTCCTTAATCATAATCATACTACTTCCCAACCTAACTTGATTGATGAATATACTTCAAAAATGAATCTTTCCGATTCGGCCAATGATGAAACCACTTCGTTTGAAAGTGACGATGCCATTAATGAATTAACAGAACGCGAACAATTGGAATGTGAATTGATTAGAAGATTAATCATTTCATATTTCAGTATTGTTAGAGAAATGATTCAAGATCAAGTTCCAAAATCGATTATGTGTCTTTTAGTTAATTATATTAAACAACATATTCAAAATCGATTAGTTGTTAAATTATATAATGATAAATTATTTGATGAATTATTGAAAGAAGATGAAAATATTCAAGCGGAAAGAGAGAAATGTGTGGAATTGTTGAAGACTTATAAAGAAGCTTCTAGGATTATCAGTGATGTTGTGTAAGACTGGTTTTTTTTGGCTTTTGCATGTCCGTGTATATAGGCATATATATATATTATTATAAATTATAAAATATTAAGTTATTATTATTATTATTATTATGACTGGTTGATATCCTTTCTATAAGTACGTAATTCTCGAGTTGATAATTTCCCAAAGAAATGAAGTTGATGTTTAATCAAATCCAGAAATTTTAAATTATACTTGTTGGGAGTAGTTGTAGAAGAAGTTTTGGCAACCAATTTGAAGTTATTATCTGTTGATAAGAATTGATGGATTTCATCTTTGTCATTCATAGTTAATAAGATATGCAGTAAACATTGCAAGATCGCCAAAGTTATCGATATGAATTTTAAACTTCTATAGTCATGTTCATCTTCTACATGTTGGTGTTCTTCATTTTCTTGCGATATGTCAGGCCCCGCCTGGTGATGTTCTTCGGTAGTCAATCCAGTGAGGTGGTGACGACGATTATCTCCAATTAACAAATTATCAAATAATTTAAACCAAGTATCTAAATTAATAAACTTCAAATCGATAAATAAACATAACCACCAATTCATAATTATAACTTCAATCTCTAAACCCAATTTCTCAAAATGTAACCATAATTCCGGTTGGAATTTATATAAATACCTTTTCAGAATAATCAAATTATCTCTATGAATATTCCCTAAATCATCGAAAAACACTTTAATCCCTCCATCATATTTCGGTAATATCTCTTCAACCAACCCCACAAATAACCAAAATACATCTTCTTCAACTAAATGATGATTCCCATCTCCAACATTATTATTACTCAATAACAAAGTTCCAATAATTTTATTCATTCCTTGGACATAGCCTACTTTTGGACAATATTGAACAAAAGCATACAAAATCCTCTTTAATTTATAATAATTCACCCCTCGTTTCAATTCAATCAAATTATTGAAATAATAATTAAATGGCAATGTCCTATCTAAATCCAATTCAATCTGATCTAAATAAGTTTGGATCTCGTCGGCAGGTTGGTCCAAAAGGGCTTGATATTCTCCATTGACTTTATATTCATTAGCTCCACTGAGTTCCATCCATAACCAGGCTCGATATTTGGTGGGGATCCCATTGGTGTTTATAAGTTGTTTGATATTGTTGAATAGTATCAGACTGATTGAAAGGAGTTTATATCCTTTGATACCAAATGTGGGGAATGTTGATGGGGAAGAAGTTGGAATAATTGTAGGATGATGTGATTGGAGTAATGTCCGGTTTATATCTTGGATAAGTTTATTCCAATCTTGTTCAAATTTATCATTTATGATATCATGAGCTTGTGACATTTCTTTTAATTTGTCAATGAATTGGAGCTTGTTATTACTTTCACTATTGGTAATTAAGATGGCTTTGTCTTCAGTAAAACTATTGTTCATTTGAATGGGTGAGGCAGTAGCCGGGTTGGAGTTGTTCGGTCCATTGGTTGTTGTAGTTGTGATGGTGGCGGTTGTATTTCGTAAATTTGTTCTATCGGTGAAGAATCCATATTTATCTATATTTATATCTTCACTCATAAGTTGTTGAGTTCCAATACTTGTTGATGACCCAAGTTCTTCGTCATGATTTGCAAAACTCGCAAGTTCGACTGGCGTTCGTGAATTTATTAACTCTTCTCGTGTCTGTTTGGAGACTGGTCTATTTTGATCACTAGATAAATCTTCTTGTGAAATAAAGAATGATTTTATCCACTTCTTGTGTGGAGCTGTAATCCAATTGGTTCCTCTTGTATCCTGGGGTTCTGGGATTTTCAGTTGAGGATTCTCTACCGGAGCTGAATGAGTACGTGTACGATTCGGTCTCGTTAGTTTTTCAATCATATTCTCTTTGGGTACTAGCTTTGTCGGTATTTCCGGTTTGTCTTTTGAAGATGGTAATTCATTATTCATGGCTACTTCAATCAATCCAGTCAAAATATCATCAATATCATTCTGTTTTGGTATCTTTTTCTTATTCTCAATTTCATTCAATTTCTGATCAATTTCTAATGCCGATAAGTTACCATATTCATTACAAAGTTTATATAATTGAGCTTCTCGTATAAACTTCTCTTGTCGTAATAAAATCAATTCAGTTTCCTTGTTGGCTAAATCTATTGATAATTGTTTAATTAACAATATTGGATCATTCTTGTATTTCATGCTGATTATTTTATGGATTTGTTCAGATGTCAATTGATGTAAACTACCTCCTAAAGTGCTTATAGAAGACGACTCTTGTTCACTAGTTGGCATCCGTTGATGATTGTCATTTGTCAATCCAAATAAACTTGATTTGGTAGTATCGGAATGCGATGTATGTGTATGTATGTCATTTGAAAATAGGCTATTACCGCTACCCTTTCCAGTCATATCTTCTATTACTATTCTATCCTATAAATCTCTGCTCATTTGAAGTGTATATCCAATTCTTAATAAGATGTCAGTAGACTGTTTGTTTGATACGAAAAAATAATAGCGTCTCGGAATATTGACGATAGATGGGAGTGGTGCTACCAGGTGGGTGGTTAAAGAATTTCCTATTCAATAATTGTAAAATATATTCACATTATAGCTAGCTCTAGCTGTACTATCTCGTGTATCTTCCTATTTCAAACAAACGGGATTTAATATCCATATTAGAAGCATCTGGTAAATTATTTCTACCAAAGTTTTTGTACGAAAATAAAATTCCGCATTTGGAAAATAAATTCCGCTCTTCATCATCGAAGTTCATCTTCAACAACTGGACAACTAGTTCCTCATGTCAGACAAACCGACAAAGAAGAAGGAATCCACAAAACGGAAATACAGTCGAGGTGGATGCAACGAATGCAAAAGAAGGAAAATTAAATGTGATGAACAAAAACCACATTGTCATAATTGTACAAGATTAAGTAAACAATGTTCATATGAAACTATTCGTAAAATTAGATTTAAATATGACAACAATCTAACTACATCAAGCAACGCTGAGTCTCAACCCGATATCAAGGATTCTGTATCTGGGTCATTACCATTTGAATATAACCGTGATAAATATAAATCGAATCAAATTGAAAGTAGTGTACGATTTGAAAAATGGACTCCAACCCCACCACCTCAGCAAGATCCCAATGACAACAACGATAAAAACCTTCCAGAAACCTACCCTGCCACTGTTTCCTCCGAGAATGATTTGCTAAGTAACACTTCACCTTGGGACGATAATATCTCACTTGGGGACGTAAAGAATCTATTTGATGATGCCAATCATTTAATTCATGATTCCTTAGATTTGTTTGATTTTCAAATAACTGGTGATTCTATTCCTGAATTGCAGCACGTTTCCAAGCAAATGAATGTTATTCCTTTCCTGAAAGACGATACACATCCTCCAGATAAAGCTTCCGAAATTGTTGCTGATACGGCAACATCAAACAAAAAACTAATTTCAAAGACTTTGGGACCACTTGGATTAGATGGAGTTGCAGAAGTAACATACTTGAATGACTTAACTGAAACTGAATTGGGATATCATTACTTCCCTTTTGCCGTATCAATTGAATCAAATCCAGTAATAGGAATACTTTTACGATACCTGAGAAATTGTCCATATTTATTAACTGCATTATTGGCTTCCAGTGCTACTTTTCAATTCATTCGTACTGGAATCCAAAAACATGAGAAAAGTAGATCCCAATATACCTCAGTCTGTTTAAAAAGTTTAAGTGAAGCATTTACAAAGCAAAAAGATAGTGATGATGAAAAATATTTCTCCAAAGATATTGAAAGATTATTATTAACCATCTTAACATTAACGTCTATGTTTACTGCCACGACATATCTACAAAAAGAAGAACCCAATTCCGTTCATTCATCTTGGAAAACTCATCTTCGCGGTGTCAAGGAGTTATTGTTGCATTATTCCCGCTTATCATCACAAAAGTCTTCCGCGCGTAGAAGTATATCAGATGGGTTGGCCCTAGCTAAAATTTGGTTCTTTTTAATTGAATCAATTGCTGAATTGAATGATCCACGAGGTGGAACTCTAAAATATATCAAGAAGAATCAAGACACATCAATTGATATAATCAAACCAGATCCAGGAATAGATTCTTCAGATATGAGCAAATTGTGGCTAGAGACAGGATATTTCACCCGAGACAGGAATCCAGAATATCATGATGCATTAGTCAGAATTGGGCTCTTGACGGATCCAAAGACCTTGCCAATTTCAACTCAATTCAATATGCTTACGGGATATTCTATTCGAGTGGTGGAATTGATTGATGAGATAGCTAAATCATTGGATTTATTAAGAGTACATCCAGGATCACAATTGTCCTCTTCGGTAATTATTAAAATTATGTCATTGGTTGAGAATGGAAGAACACATGATATTGTACCTGGCGTTTGTCAAGAAACTTTTGAAATTCCTGTATTATCAAAGGCTCATCCGGAGTATCAAGGACACGATAGGATAGAACTTCCGTTGTCTTGTTATGCGAAGGACGTTTATCCTGGAGGAGTAAGATATTTTTCTTGGTTCGACCTTAGTGAACAACTATTGATTGATGAGATGTATTTAAAATTATTGACTACAAATGGCTTGCTTAAGCTCCCAAAGACTCATCCGTTGATTATAGAATTGAAGGACAAGATTTTTAAAAGCATGTTTTTCCTAAAGGATAAAACTGATGAGAACTATAGTCTGAAAGTCAAGCAAGGAACCATCTTGATTGAATCGGAGAACTATTATTTATGTAACAATTTGTTTGATGTTAGAGCAATTATGGTTCCATCACCATACATTCAATGCTCACTAGTAGCTAGTGATGAGCAAGAGTTTGAAAAATTGGAATTGTATTTCCTGGGATTGGTTAAGTTAGGAAATGGAAGTTCTTTGTTCGCATTGGACAGGTTGTATAGGTTAAGAGAAAGGATCAGAAATAACCAACAGGAAGACACCGTAGAAGAAGAAGGAGAAGACATAGATACATATAGAGTTATTCCGTTCTCATAGGTTTGTAAGTGTATAAACTTCTCAACATGCCTGTAAATTTTGCAACTACAAATGTATGCATAAAATTCCACTTGGAATTAACAATCCCTAAGGAGTGGATCCACAGCCCGCCAACCAAATGTTAGTCATATGGGTAACAACAAGGTCAGACTATGAAATTCAAGAGTAGGAGATCATTGTCAAAACTATTTGTAGTGAAAACTCTTCTGTTGATACACCAAGTATTTATCATTCTCAATTATTCGAGTGGAAAATGGGCCAAGAATGGTTAGCAATGATCTAATACTAATCTGACAAGGTGTACTTAGAATACACCTCATAATACATTGGTTTTGCGCATATGAAAGATATTTATGAAATCATGACATTGAGGAGACCTAATAGAAATCCTAGCATTTTGTGTCGTTTACAAAAAGTGTAAATTAGGAATCGTCTTTTGTGGTTATTAGGTTTGATAGAGATTTACAAACCCCTCTTTTCAAATACGCCTTAGTTTTATTTTGTGTATGAACTTTTTGTGGTTGTGCAATTATAATAGTACAATATGTAGAAAACTAAACAAATTTGGTTGCAAATTTTTTGTGGTTGCAAAAAAATCTCAAGTATAAATAGACCTGGAAATCCCCTAGAATTCAAATTTTTTGTTTTCTTCTTTTCTCTTTTTCTTTTTCTTTTTCTTTTCTTCTTTCATTAATTATCTCTTTCCATATTATCACATCTTTCTTTCAATCATTTCATTACTCATTCATCTACTACTTATGTCATCTATAATATTGTTTTGTCTTCTACCTTTTGCCTCATATTCATCTATTCACTGGTTGTTCATTCTTTTATCCATTAAATAATTTGTTCCTGCCACAGATAGTTTCTTCTTATTCCATTCATATTTTAGTTCATTCAGTCAATCAGTGTATCCCACATTCCATACTTCATTTGTCTTCCGTCATCCTTCATCCATTCATCCATCCTTCTTCACTTATTTCTTATATTATTCCATCTAACAAGCCATCTGTCACTAAATGAGTTCAAAATATAACCTTTCAACTGATTTGTTCTTGATGCTTTTCTCAAAATATTGGATGGTATGGTACAACCTTTTCAACCNAAGGATGGAGACAATCAAGGAATGAACAATGACTGCCTGACTGAATGAGCTAATGAATGGATCACAGGGGGGGACTAGTCTGAGAAGGAATAGATAAAATGGGTAAAAGACATGGATATGCTAATGATGTAGTATGGGGTTTGTGGTGTAGGGGGCGCAGGGCATGGGGGCAGGGCATGTAGCTAGCGAAGGCATGTGGCATGTGGTGTAGGTAGAGGAGGCAAGTGGTGTAGGTAGTGGAAGCTATGATGCCCAAGTCCGTGAATTCACCAAGCTGTATTCATATTCGTAAACTTTCGTTTGTAAACTTCCATTTGTAAACTTCTCTTTGTGAACTTCTGGTATAAACTTCTGTTTGTGAACTTCTGGTTGTAATCTTCTTTTTGTAGACTTTTCAAACACAAGCAGTATTCCAGCCACATGCTAAAGTTTTTTGTATTCCCCTTTCCCACCTGATTGATTTTTAGAAACTCTAGGAATCCTATTATACCACCACCACTCAAAACGGTTTCTTGAGAGTATTGAGTTCAAAAGCATTGACTTGCTTATGGAGTGAACAGTAATCATCATAACTAGGCTAGTATCTAGATAGGATCATTTGAGTTTCTGCTCTACAATCAATTGAGCAACCAGTTGCTCTTGGGAAAAACACCCTTCATTCTATTCCTTTAAAATCAGGATTGTAGAATAACTGTTGGTTTTTTACTTTTGTACCATCGTAAACTCTGAACCCCGGTAATATAATATTATTTTATAAGTGATTTTGTACAACTAATATTGCCCTGGTTAACCATTTTGGAAATCAGATACATAAAACCGGTATTTTTTATGCATAACTGGATCCTAGATGCATATATTTGCATGTACTTGCATATTAGTCTTTCAAACTTTGTCCCGATAAGTCCTGTAAATCTAGCTAATAGAGGTGCTTTGCGCTTTATTCCTGATAATAAAATGGCTGCTAAAATAAATGTCGCGCGATTATGACTAATAAGTTGGAAATAAACACCCTTATTAACGGGATAAGAAGCTCTGTCTAGAAGCATACATATCAATACTTAAAGATACAATCTAGTAAGAACTAGATCATATCCTTACGCCTTCCGTCAAACTTCAATTTGACTTTTCGCTATCCTTACCTATGTACAATTTCTTGATAAAGAAGTGGTTCCACTGTATTTCAAGATCACAAAATATGCAGGCTCCATTGAAAATTCATATATTTGGATGATAGATATGTCTCTCTCTCTCAATTCGTAATCAGTAAGTCAATCCATTAGAGAAGCGAATCAACAAGAAAGTTTACTTTATCTTGATATAACTGAAGAAGTCAAGATTGACAATACATACTTAACGCTTATAAATAACTTAGCGAGAGCATAAAGCAAATCCATTCTTTCTATAAATTTTCTCAGCTAATATTTTTATCCTGTACTGAACCAGATTATTTGAATTCTAAATCAAATTGGTCAAATTGGTTCCGATCTTTACGTGACAACATTTGTTGTTTATACTCAAGATTTAAAGAATTTTGTCAATTTCTTTACCAAAAATATACATTATCATATACAATTATATAAATAGATGAATGAGAATCAGTGAGAATATATTTAAAGTAAATTATATTACTATTTAGAGTTTCCCACAGTCATAAAGAGTTTTTCAACATATATTTCTAACATTTGCTGTGGTTTAAATCGATTATCAAGTGTAAACTGTAAATTTAAATTCATTGTTAAAGTTAATCTGTAGCACGTGACCAATAACCAGTAAATTTCTTTTTTTATTTTTATAATTTCTTTTTCGTTTGGTTGGGAAGTGGAAGTTTTTTGTTTTTGTTGTTTCTCATTTTTTTTTATTCCTTCACATAACCACTACCATTTATAAAAGTATCAAGTGTGCAGGATCAACTTCTTTATACACAACCATTTCAACTTTACCAATTTGCAGCTTTTACTTTTAAGGATCAATTCACCAAAAGAATATGCTGAACCCTTCTACTTCGAATGAACGTTCAACTGTTGGTTCTAATAACCACCACCACCTTCAACAACAACAACAACAACATGAAGATGCTTTTGACCCTGCGGTTCAAGCAGCTAACAATCAAGCAGCAGCCGCAGCAGCTGCTTTTGTGGGATTAGGTGGTGATGATAATCAATATCCTCATCCAAGTACATATGCAGCCAGTGCAGCAGCTGCAGCAGCAGAACTTCAACATCGTGCGGAACTTCAAAGAAGACAACAACAATTACAACAACAAGAATTAGTTCATCAACAACAACAATTACAACATTATCATCAACAACAACAACAGCGTGAACAACAACAACGTGAACAGCAACAGTTGCAACAACAATTGCAGCAACAGCAACAACAACGTGAACGGGAAATACAACGTGAACGTCAACAACGGGAAAGAGAACAACGTGAACGTTTACAACGTGAGAGAGAACAACGTGAACGTTTACAACAACAACAGCAACAACAACAACACCAACACCAGGATTTAGGGCCAGATCTTCTTACTCAACATCTTCCACAGCAACAGATTGGTGATGAATATGGTCCTACTGGGGCTGATATTCGTTCAAGATATATTGACAATGAAATCATTAAGACGTTTTCAAGTAAGCAAGAATTAGTTAGACATGTTAAATATTTCTTAGGACCTGAAGAAAATTGTAAAATTGTGGTTAATTCATCAAAACCCAAGGCAGTTTATTTCCAATGTGAAAGATCTGGTAATTTTAGAACTACTGTTAAAGATCCAACTAAAAGACAAAGAGTTGCTTATACAAAAAGAATTAAATGTCCTTATAGATTAGTTGCAAATTTATATCCACCCGATAAAGAAAAGAGAAAGATAAAAAAGGATGACGATGATGAGGAGGAAGAAGATCAAGTTCCTAAAGATGAATATGATAATGAGATGGGGGGTAATAGTGAAATGTGGATATTACGTATGATAAATCCAATTCATAATCATCCACCTGATCCAATTGGTGTTGCTACTAATAATAAAAAGAAGAGACCGCGTTCTGCAAGAACTCTTGTACAAAAACCATTGAATAAACATCTTAATCAACCTCAACCTCCTCCTGGTGCTACTACCAATTATGGTGAATTGATGAATCATAATGTCCTTCAACCACAAGTGGTGGGACAATCCCATCATCATCATTTAGTTGGTGTTGATCAACATCGTCATCATCAAGTCAATCAAGATGCTGCTGTACTTGCTGCAATTGAAGCTACTCAAGTTGGTAATACCAGTGGTGGCGCATCTACAGCAGCTGTTGCAGCTGCAGCTGCCGCGGCATTACATTCACAAGACGTTGATACTTCTTCTATTGATCCAAATGTTGATCCTAATGTTCAAGCTCATGATCATTCTCATGGAATGAGAAGAATGCATATGAGAGGATGATGATCATCACCCAGTATCTTTTATTTGTATCTCTTTGTTGTTATTACCTTTTCAATATTGTTGTTAAAAATGTTTATATAATTATTAAAAATATGTATATTTGTATTATTTTCTTTGTTTAGTTTGTATTTCTTTAATTCAATGGATAATTT